AACAATGCTTTTGTGTAGTATATTGTGCCAATTAAGCTTGATGTCCCCTGAGACCATGGTCCCGAGCCCAAAGGTCCAGCAACTTGCTCCATCATGGTGGCTGACTGTGCCTAAGAAATTTGCATAGTCATATATGCAAAGTCATATCTTTGCCCCCTGTTAAAAATCAAAAACCAAACGCACTGCCATCGAGTCAATTCTGATGCATGGTGACCCCCTTTGGGTTTCCCAGAAGGTAAATCTTTATGGAAGTAGATTGTCCAGTCTTCCTTCTATGGAGTGGCTGGTAGCTTGAACTTCCAACCATCTGGTTAGCAGTCAAATGCCTTAGGCACTGTTAGCTCTATTTATATGGACATTCTTAGAGCACACACAAATACGTATGTACAAATATCGTCTGCCAACCTTATATATGGTCGTGGGTATATTCATTTTTACCTGGACATACCTGATCATTCAGCCTGTCTACTTATCTATTTACCTGTAGATTAATGTTTGTTGTCACTGATAATGCAGTATTGTATACGTAAAAGTATTTATCTTTGTTGTCTGTACTCTTGTGCATTAGGGATTGCATTATTATTAAAGGCATGTATAATACATTGGTTTTGAGTTGATCCCAACTCATAAGTACTTTATAGGACATACTAGAACTACAACATTGTGTTTCCAAGGCTGTAAATATTTACAGAAACAGAATTGAACCACCAACCTTTAAGTTAGCAGCCGAACACTTAAACACTGAACTACCAGGGCTTCTATAGTATGTATAAAGTAAAACCAAACTCACTGCCATCAAGTCAATTCAGACTCACAGCGACACCTCCTTGGGTTTCCAAAGTGGTATCTCTACAGAAGTAGATTGTCCAGTCCTCCTTCCAAGGAGTGGTTGGTGGATTTGAACCACTAGCCTTTGACCCCTAGTGGCTCAACAGTCAACTGCTCAAGCTATTCAAAAGGCTGACAATTTCAACTTACCCAGCAGCTCCATGGGAGAAAGGTCTGGCAATCTATTCCCCTAAAGATTACAGTGTAGGAAACCCTATTGGGCAGTTCAACTCTGTCGCATGGGGTTGCTATGAGTTTGAAAATTGACTCAATAGCAACTAACAACAGTTAAGCCCCAAGGACAGGTTTCTTGCTTCTGTCAGCTGGTCTAAAGGCAAGAGCGAGGATGGAGCAAAGAAGAAGGAAGTAGGGTTGATGGACTGGTGAAAATGAGGAGGGAGAGTGTTGAACTAAGAAAAGAGTGAGGGAGAGGGGGAATAATGGGGGAGAATTCCACCAGCAAGGCTGAGACATCAGATTCACCCCAAATGGTCTCTCTCTGAGAACGCAACATTTCTGTGGGAGTTGAGAGTAGAAAACGTTGTATGAGGGAACTGAAAAAAATAATAAATAAACAGTAGGGAAGAGGAGTCTGTAATGAAATAAATTCCTGGCGTAATCAGTTTGGGAGGGGAGGTGAAGAATTTCAATTACGACGCTACTCCCTTATTACTTCCCAAACACCCATACTCTGCACACATATTTCTGTAGCACTTGAGACTCCTTAGATAATTGAGACAGAAAGTATATTTAAAATCTGATTCATTTTGTCCCTTTGTTTACTTCACATGTCCTTCATTTCAGACAATAAAGGGACATTTTTTAGTTTCTCTGCCTGTTTTTTAGAGCTGATATAAGACAGCAATGCTTAGGTTCTTTGCTAGAAGGAGAAATCAATGCTGATTTTATTTTTCAGCAATTACATCCCTGAGGGTTTTTTGCCCTGGGATTCTAAGGACAATGGCCTCTAAAGTCTGACACTCTGGTAAATAACAGCTACAATTCCCAAAGCTCAACCAGGCTCTGCTAATAGGATGCTGGCTCTTTGTTGACCTCTTCAGCATTTATAGCTGAAATGATATTATTAGCATTTAATTACATAGTGTTAGGTCTAATTTATGAATTATTCAATATGTATCAATCATCTTTCCCTGACTGACTGCAAGTTCCATGAGGACAAGGATAATGCTAATAGAAGCCAGTATGTACTGAGTTCTTCCCATAAGCCATGCACAATAATAAATAAAATACTTTACATTGCCTATTCACTAAGTGCTCACAATATCCCTATAAAGAAGGTATTGATTGATTTTATCTCCTTTACCAGTGAGGAAATGAGACTCAGAAAAGTGAGATAACTTGTTCAACATCACTCAGGTAATAAATGGTGGTGCCAGGATAAGAAACTAATTTTCTTAGAAATAGCTTAACTTCATTGTATCTTATATTTTGAAATATCCATCACCTCTCATATATATATATATACTCTTAACAAGATAGATTGACACCATGACGATGGGCTCAAGCATGGCAATGATTGTGAGCATAACACAGGACTGGGCAGTGCTTCCTTTTGTTGTACATAGGGTTACTATGAGTTGGAACCGACTTACTGGCACCTAACAAGAATACACACACAAATACAAATGTATGCATAAAAACCAAGCCAGTTGCTATCAGGGCAATTCTGACTCATGGTGAGCCCACGTGTGTCAGAGTAGAACTGTGTTCCACATAGTTTTCTATGGCTTATTTTTCAGAAGAAGATTGTCAGGCCTTTCTTTTGAGGTATATCTGGGTAGACTTGAATCAACTTTTTGGTCAGGGCCAAGCACTTTATCAATTTTGCCCCCCAGGGCCTCTCTCTCCCTCTCTCTCTCTCTCTCTCTCCCTCTCTCTCTATATATATATGTGGCATAGGAGTTCTGGTAGTGTAGTGCCTAAGGCACTTGACTGCTAACCAGAAGGCTGGCAGTTCAAACCCACTATCCACTCCTCGGAAGGAAGATGGGGCAATCTACTTCCATAGTGATACTGCCTCAGAAACCCAAGGAGGGGTTGCTATGAGTTGGGTCTGACTCGACGGCACATAACAACAACAACAACAATATATGGCATAGTACCAAAGGCATTTGACTGCTAGCCAGAAGGCTGGCAGTTCAAACCCACCAGCCACTCCTGGGAAGGAAGACTGGGCAATCTATTTCCGTAGAGATACCGCATCAGAAACCCAAGGAAGGTTCACTATGAGCCGAATAGACTCAATGTCGTGAATTTGGTTTTTTGGATGTGATACATAAGTATATGTGTATAGATATATATTTTTTTCTTTGCAGTGATAAGGTTTCCTTATCTATAAAATTGAAGTTATGACATTTGTCTGCCTATTTCAATGGGCCTGAAAAGATGTAATAACAGATATGAGTGAGTAGCATAAGCATTTGAAAAATACTGGGGTTGCTCCCTTTCCTATTTTGATTTCCAGCCAAACCTACAAATCCAGTCTTACAGATGATGATCCAAAGACCTTCAATACTCCATTGAAGGAAGCTTTTCTTTCAAACTAGATGAAAGCCTCCTGTTCTCTTTATTTATCACAGACAATAACTGCATAATTGATGCATGTTCATTTATTTGATAGAAATTAGTTGAGGGCTTGTTAGTTGCTATGGAGAACACACAAAAAAATTAAAGCATGATCCCTGCCTGTCCTTGAGGGACTTAAAATCTCATTTGAAAGACAAAACACTCAAAAAGGCAATCTGGTATGTTTTGAAGAGCACAGCGTTTGAACCAAGAAGACTGGGTTTTCAGTTGCAGCCCCTCCAATTTCTAGATGGGCACCTTGGACAAGTCACTTAAATGTATCCACCTCAGTTTTCTTGCATAAATGAGGAAACAAGACCTCTTTCACAGAGTTATGTTACATGGTTAGTTATGGGAAAGCAGTCACCAGTTAGAAAACATTAGGATTGTAGATCTCAAGTGAAATGATAAAGGATGGTACAAGACAACATGGAAAATAGGGCTAAGTGAGTTTGGAGGAAGGTTGGATTTATTGATGCACTGGAGGCTGGAGGTGCAGGGTGGGCAGGCTTCACAGAGGAGATAGGGTAGAAGGTGGGCCTGGGCGCAGGGCACAGTCTGTAGAGACTGAAAGGAGGAGAGAGCCTGTTTTAGAAGGAGGAAGGAGGAAACCCTGGTCAAGGGCTGGAGGCAAGAAGGAACAAGAGCTGCAGAAGAAGGCCAAAGGTAGATAGTTCATGGAGAGAAATGTTGGGAGAGAGATAATGCTGGGAAGACACTGAGAAAAAGCAAAGGATGGCTGGGAATGCATTTATTCTGCAAGCAGTAGGAAGTCTCAGAAAGTTTTCTGAGCAGCAGGAGTAACATGATTAGAGGACTATTTTTGGAAGAATAACTTTATGATAATTATATAAATGATGGATTAGAGAGAAAGAGTACCTGGAAAGAACACCAGTTTGAAGAATAGAAAACAATCATGCTAGCAATAGTGGGACCTGAACCAGGCCAGGGGCTCTGAGAATGGACAAGACAGTTTGGAGGTAAAACGTAGTACAATGGGACATGTCCTAGAATTAGTAACTAATTGAGTCATAGGGTTAGCACGAGAAAGGAGCTGGAAACAACTCTAGAGTTTCAGAGCCTAGAAAATGGAAGAGCAAAGTGTTGTGGATTGAATTGTGTCCTCTAAAATGTATGTTGAAGACATAACTACACCTAGGATATGTCCCTGTACCTGTATATATAGCTCTGGAATATGGGACATGGTCTAGATCTCAAATCCCTGAAGACTCAAACTTTCACACCTAGAGACTTGGTAGAATACCCCATTTTGAGGGTAGTAGTATACTGAAAGGGCTATTTTCTATGTTTTTAGATGATCTGCACCAAACATTCTTAGCTGCATAGCCAAATTCATTCCTCCCTTCTTCCTTGCTAAGCAAACCTTGTGAATCAGGGCAACGAAAGTGCTCAGCCTCAAGTGAGATACTTTTTTGTAAGTAAGGGTGGGTTCTGTTACATATTTCTAGTCAGTAGGTATAAGCAGAAAGCTGGTGGAAGCCATGGGAAGGTCTTTGCCCTCCCTCATGGAAGGGTTTCTGTTCCTTGCAGCTAAACACATTCCCCATTAATGCAGTGCCCTTTACCTTTTCAGATCCACAGTGGTGACATTGAATACAACTCCTTTCAGCCAGAGGATCATAAAGAGGCGTTGAGAGAAAGGACAGTTGCCAATGCTTTCTCCATCGATTCCAGCCTAGAAGGAAAAAAAATGGAGAACTGAGTTGGCATGTACATATAATCAAGAAGCAACATAGGATTATAATACCAAAACCTCAATCTGAGAACTGCAAAAACCAAGCATGTCCAAGCCTAATCTCAAAGGGCAGTGGCCATATCTTTTTCATCTTTGTCCCTCTAACGCCTATCTAGGACAATGCCTGGCACAATATAAGAGCTCAATAAATATTTACTGGACTGAACTTGAGTTTCCAGTATCACAAGTATGTAGAATCATAACTTTCTGAAATGATAGAACCCTAGTGACTTCTAAAAGAGACTTCTAACAAAAATGGTGCTGGAATACCAACTTCTATACCTCCAAGTAGTCATCTAGTCTATACCTGAATATCACCATCAATCAGTAGTTTATATTCCTCAAAAGAGTCTGTGGTAGTTAAGGTTGTATGTCAATTTGGCTGTGCCTGGTTGAGTGGCTGGGCAGCTGGTGGTAGTTATTCCCCATGATGAGACTGGCAATCAACTCCATGTGGGATCTACCATAAGCAACTGAGTAGCTGCTTTAGGGATGTGGTTTGCTTCTTGATGGCATGCTTGAAGCCTGCATGTATCCAAGTTGTTGTTGAGCAGCCTGCCATGCTCTGCCGATCTTGGGACTTTCACTGAAATTGAATCAGTGGCCTGCCATGTGGTTTGGTAATACCGGGACTGTGCCCTTTCACTTGTTGACCTTGGGTTTGTCAACCTCAGCAGCCAACTGCTGCCTGAGTGAAGAGATGCCTCTAGCTTCAGTGGGCTGGGAGCAAACAGCAGAGCTAAGCCCAAGACTGAGATGCTTTCACCCAGCCCATGAAGCCTGGCCCTTTATACTCGGACTTTATGCCTCTAAACTATAAGAGAATAAATTCCTGTTTGTTCAAGCCATCTCGTTTGTGGTATATTCCTGTCAAAGCGACACTAATAACCAAAACAGAATATGGTACTGAGAGAGTGGGGTGCTACTCTCACAGATACTTAAAATTTGGAAATAGGAGTGGAGGGTGTCCTTGACCCATGATCCCTGCACTGAGACACTAGCAGAGAGACTAGCATGAGAGATGGCACTAGCAGAACCCAGAGACTGGCATAAGACAGCAATGGCCTTACCAGCCCGTGGAGGAGAATGCTGGATGCCACTGGATAGGTGGCTTCCTGGAGGAGTAGTTTGCCTTTGGGCATTAATTCGTAGAAGATACCTGCATGAAATGGAGCAGCGGGTTGGCCAGCCCACGGAACAAGAAAGCTAAGTGTCTTTTGGGCAGGAAGATTCCTGGAGGAGTGGGTTGCCCTCAGGCATTAATTGGCAGAAGCAGAGAGACCAAGGAAACTAGAAGCAGAGCTGTCTCAGTCTCAAGGGTAGGACTAAGGCCTTTGGGGTTGGAACCACCACAGCCTCCTAGGTTTCAAAGAGCCAGACCTTCACCAACTTGGTTCTGGAGTGTGGGGCTGCTCGTTCATGTGAGCCAGTGGGATGGAACCATAGCCACTGCCCAAGAGTGAGGGGGCAAGGCTGCCATGCCCAAGAGGTAGAGGAACAGGGCCCACAAGGGGGTGAAGTCACCACTCAGGAACTAGGGGACTGGAGCAACCCAATGAAGGCGATCTGTACAGATGCCACCCACTAAAGATATGTACAGGTGCCAAGTTAACAAAGGGTGGAACTGTGGTAGTTAAGGTTGTGTGTTAACTTGGCTGGGCCTGGTTGAATGGCTAGGCAGCTGGTGACAGTTATTTCCCATGATGCGATCAGCAATCAACTCCATGGTGAGATCTACCACAAACAACTGAGTAGCTGCTTTAGGGATGTGGTTTGCTTGCCACATATAAGAAGCAGCTCTAGTTGATGTCACACTTGAAGCCTACACGTAGCCAAGTTGTTCAGCAGCCTGCCATGCTCTGCCGATCTTGGGACCTTCACTTGGGACTTGAATCAATGGTCTGCCATGTGGTTTGGTAACATCGAGACTGTGCCTTTTCCCTTGTCAACCTTGGGTTTGTCAGCCTCAGCAGCCAGCAGCTGTCTGAGTGAAGAGATGCCTCTAGCTTCAGTGGGTTGGGAGCAAGAGGCAGAGCTGAAGCCCAAAGTTGAGGGGCTTTCACCCAGTCTCTAATGCCTGGCATTTTGAACTCGGACTTAAAGCCTTCAAACTGTAAGAGAATAAACTCCTGTTTGTTCAAGCCATCTCATTTGTGGTATATTCCTATCAGAGAAGAACTAGGTAACCAGAACAGAGTCTATACTATTTGAAGCCTCACCTCTCTCCCACAGAGGGGCTGGTGAGTTTAAATCACCAACCTTTTGGTTAGCAGCCAAATGCTTTAACCACTGTGCCAACAGACCTCCCTGAGGACAAGTCTAACAAGCAGAAATGCTTTTATTTGGCTATGTTGTTGTTGTTGTTATGTGCCGTCGAGTCGGCCCCGACTCATAGCGACCCCTCCTTGGGTTTCCGAGGCAGTATCACTACGGAAGTAGGATTGCCCAACCTTCCTTCTGAGGAGTGGCTGGTGGGTTTGAACCGCCAGCCTTCTGGTTAGCAGTCAAGTGCTTTAGCCACTATGCTACCAGAGCTCCTTTATTTGGCTATAGCTAGCCAAAATAGTTTCTTTTGTCACTTACCCTCTACACCCCTTGGTCTATGTCCCATGAAGATCCATGTTTACAGATACCTCAAATTTTGATCTGCCTCTCCCAGTATATTTACACTACTCAGCAGCCTCAAGACTTTAATCAATACTCCACTTAGTGTCTCTGACTAGTATTTGATCTCTTATGTCAATAAACCATTAATTGCTTAAATTATCCTTTCATTAAAAAAAAAAAAAAAAAAACATAATGACTATCAGTTACATACAAAACAATGGAGAAAATTTCATGGAGGATTAAAAACTCTGTTTCCTCAAGGGGCTTATGGACTTCTGTGGGATGGGAAGAAAGATTAGATAGGAACACATATAACAATAACAGGTAACATTGAATGCCTGCATACTTCTGATCATTAAATTCCTCCTTCCTGCTATCCTCCTCAAAATAGGATTTTATTGGGGGGTTTTGTTTGTTTTTGTTATGGGTGGTGTTGTTTTACATGTCTGAAACAAAAGTCTATCTATCCCTACTGCACTTCTGAGTGGTCTGCAGAACCATGAATTTTATAAAGAATTTATTTTGAGCAAACACATGAAAAAAATTGAGGAACCAGCCTCTGTATAATTTGTTTCCACTGAATGGCTTATTGGCTCCCAACATGATTGTTAGAGGGAGAAGTAACCCCCTCACTATTGGCTCCATTGGCAATTGTGGCCCCATTCAGAGGCCATGGTACTGAGGCTAGGTCACAGGGAGGACATGGACAGTAGACACCTTCCAGGAGTACTTGCAAAGCTTCCAACTTCATTTATTGAAACTCAAAATGAATGAACCAACCAACATGCTGGAATGAGGCTTACTAAGTTTTTTTTTTTTTTTTTTTTTGAAAGAAAGGGAGAAAAACAAAGCAGAACAAAATGCATTCAGAAAGATTTAGACAAGGAGGTAGTGATGGATCTTTCATACATTACAGCCTAATTCTGGGCTTATTTGTACCTTGAAATCATACCCAGCAGAGGCTCAGGTTTATAATGGAAAGCTGGAGCTTTTTAGTGTTGGTTGTAGGTAATTGCTATGAAATTACAGTTATTTTGCTCTCCTCTTTTCTACCCCAAGGAGCCCCACTGCCTATTCAGTTCTCACTTTTCCTTGGTGCCAGAAATAGACCCACTCTAAGTAGTCAAGATAGCATGGGCTCTATTATATGAAATCTGAAAGGTGGGAGGGCACCATTGTGGGTGCCACACCTGCCCGCAGAGCTAAAGTTACTGACAAAGCCTTAGCATACAGGCCACACTCAGGATAGACAACTATTAATTTAATAACAGTTTGATGCTAACGTGAGTTTATGGTGTCAGTTCCCTAAAACTTCCCCAAGAAGCCTTGACAGATACCTGGATCTTGGTCCTTAAAGTCATCCTGACAAAGGAACTTTCTTCCCAGGGTTAGTTACAATGTAAGTGTATAAGAACTAAAACAAAAGCCACATCCACATATTGTCAGCTATTTTTCTCAGTGGGGAAGGAACAGCAGGAGGTGAGGAAAAGAGATTTAAGGGAGGAACTAGTACAATACTGGAATTCTCATTCGCTGAACAATAAAAAATTAATATATTTTATATAAACATAAAGCTATAATTTTTTTGTAGAGAAAGTTATAGGGAATAATAGTAACTGATGTCTGTAGTAGAGGTTCCTAGGTGGCATAAATGTTTAAACCCACCTGGGGACACCTTTGAAGACAGGCCTGGTGATCTGCTTTCAAAGGGTCACAGCCTTGAAAACCCTGTGGAGCAGTTCTGCTCTGCACACATAGGGTTGCCATGAGTAGGAATCGGCTTTGTGCAACTCCCAATGACAATGCCTTTATTGCCAGGCATTGTCCTAAGTGCTTTACATATATTATTAACCCATTTATTCCTCATGAGAATACTATGAAGTGGGATTTTATCTCCCTTCTTGTGAGGAAACTTAGACACAGAAAGGTAAAGTAACTGGCCTAAGTTACTGGAACCCTGCATTTAACCAAGTTGTTATTCAGCAGCCTGTCATGCTGAACTCTCGGAAGGAAGGTTGGGCAATCCTACTTCCGTAGTGATACTGCCTCGGAAACCCAAGGAGGGGTCGCTATGAGTCGGGGCCAACTCAACGGCAAACAACAACAACAACAACAAACAATATTTAAGAGTGGTAAAGTGGGATTGAACCCAGGTGGTCTAGCTCCAGACTCCAAACTCTTAACAACCATGCCCTGAATCCAACCTGAGGACCCAGACAGAGAGCATTTTCCCAAGGTCACAAAACTGGGAAGTGATGGTGCTCAAGCTGTAGACATATTCCATACCCTCTCTGTGCATTCCACTATGCCAAAGGTGGAAAGAGGGAGGCAGT